GACATACAGCGGGGTCATGGTAGTTTGAATTGAGAAGTCAACTGCCAGTTAATAGACTTTTTACCGTATGAGTATGCGTTGCCCAGGGTGCACCACGTGGAGGTAAGTCTATTGCGTATCCCAGATGGAAAATAAAATGTGGAAATTCAGTCTTGAAAAAAAAACGATTTCTTTTTTGGGACCTTGGTAGAAATCGGTGCCTTGGTTTAAAATACGTGTGGACGTTGGGTCTGGTTTAAAAGAGGCTCCGATTCATAATGTAAGATTACTTTAAGAATCCGATCGAGTTCTGCGTAGAGAAATCTCCCCAAAGATTCATGAACCCTTGAAACTGTTAAGTGGCGAACTACACAGGCCCCAGAGTTTTAGGAAGGACGATTTTCTCTCTTATGGAGTTTCGAAGACCTTTATTTCCCAAACCGGATCAGTAGAAAGCTTTAATTCAACTCTGTCAAAGTAATTTATAATGAGTAATAGTTTGAACACTAAAACATTTTGAATTAATTGTCTTTAAATTTTAGCACATTTTAACAACTATTAACCCGTTTGCAAATTTAGGAAATAAATAACTCAATTTAGTCATCAAAATCATAACTAATGGGAAGTTCAAGTTGACCGCAACATTTAAGCGTAGTCTTTTCTCGAAGAGCATTTAAGGGGCCCTTTGGGCTCACTTAAACAAACGGATGTACTATTCTTTTGCATTGCGGCAAATGGACACCAGCTTCTGCTATGCCAAGCCAATGGACTGCTGTGCTAAAGCAAATCAAAGTTAAATCCACTTGGGGTCAGTGAACGTTAGTCAGTAAGAGGGCGTTGATAATGGCATTAAATTTACATTTAACATTACTGACTGAGAGTGAACTTAAATGTATATTGGAATGGGATAGGGGACAGGGGACAGGAAATACTTAATTTAGTCATAATTCAATGTAGATGTGTGTGACAAGGTGGGCGGCTTGATAAGGAAATGGTAAGTTGATAGTGGATCCAATGGTGTGGCAAATAGGTAAGTTTAGAGTCATTTAATTAATTCTTTCTACTGCTAAATGGAATGCCCAGAGTAATAAGCTCATAATCAAAAGCCTGGAATTGTATTGAAACGTTGTGTAAATAGCATGATCTTATACCCAAGACAGCGTAAGTTGAGGGAACTTAAGGTCTGGAAGCGTGTGATGGACAGAAATAGAGACGTGATGGAAAGCGACTATGTTACCGCAAAAGGCCACTTCTTCCAAAAACGAAAAGTAATTTAATTTACCACAAACCACGTCTCTGGATCTATGTAGGTCCACATTCTGGCAGATGCTCTCGTACTGGCTGCTTTCGAATTTTGCCAGCTTATTAGATTCCAATAATTATCGAACGACGTGTTGGGTGGCCTTTTGAATGATAGATATCCTACCTCTATAACTCTAATAAACCTACTTAAGAAGTCACTTTCGCCTACCATTAGGTGTGCGACGGGTGAAAATTGGCAGGAGGTGATGTTGGACTGCGACGCGGGTCGAGAGTGTGAGGGATCGGGCACATCGTGCGGAAGTAAAACCACCTACCTCTACTTCGTGACCTTCATTTTCTTCTCCTCCTTCCTCATGCTCAATCTCTTCGTAGCTGTCATTATGGACAACTTTGACTATCTTACACGCGACTCCTCTATCCTTGGTCCGCATCATCTCGATGAGTACGTTCGTGTTTGGGCGGAGTACGATCCTACTGCTCGGTACGTGACCAGTGAAACCCCCCCCCCTCCCTCCTCTCCCTTTTGTCCCAAAAATCATGGACATGCGTGTAATTATCTGAGGGTAAATAGGAAAGCATTTGATCTTAGCCTCTGATAGATTAGAAGCTATTAAAACCCTGTTTCGCGGGGTCAGACATTAGTCAAATTGGCTGAAGTCTCCGCCATAACAGTTTCTACACCCCTCTCGGTAAAGCCGGAGAATGTGATGCGAACAGATTATTACTAGAGGTTATTTACCTACTTTGGTATAACGTAGAAAGAAATGGCAACTCGCCTAATTCCTGAATGGCGTTTAATGAGCGGAATTGAGACAAACTCAAACGCCAACTTCCGCTTCAAATAAAGCTGAGGCAGACAAATTCAGAATTGCAGCCAACAACAGTTTCGTCTACGGACGTGTTTATGTTTTTGTTTTAATTGCGAGTTTCCTCTGCATTTGGCCATCAAATATCTTTTTCACATTGCCTTCCAATTAATTGTCAGCCTAAAATGCATGCGGATGACGCGACTCCAGATAACATCAAAGCAATTTATTCTCTATATTGATTTCTTATCTACCTGTACAGTGTTTATAATTATTTGTTGAATCTCATTTATATTATAATGTCATTTTCACCGGCGTTTCAAAATTTCACACATAAGCAACCGCTCCTTCATAGTTATCTGCGCTAGCTACGAGCCAGTCTTTGGCGATAGTTAAATGTATGAGGTGTTATATAATTACCCTTAAAGAACACATTTCTTGGACATATCTACATTTCTACAAATATCCCCTAACTCCGATTCAGGAACCATTTACAACAGAAGGAATAGGTGGGGTCACTTCAATTGCTGTCTAGAAACCATCTCAACTGTATGCTTAAGCAATATATGCCCGCTATATTCATTGTGTCCTATCATTCAAATTTGGTCGGTAGTATCTCCTCATGATCACTGATTGCTGATGGATTTCAGGCATCTTGGTTCCTGAAGGCTGACGGCTTTCGACTGATGTCTTTGAATGGAGTTACAAAACTTAATACTTTCGTGGCTCTCCGGTTTTAATATCAAAGAAAAAATAATACCTTGCTTTCATTTCCATTGAGTCATTATGTTGGGGAGGAATAAGTAGTCTACTTCAAGCAAAAATGTATTTCACTTGTAGCATCCTATTGAGCGTGTATGCTAGTTCATACAACTGCGCTAGCGTACACTTGCATCGGTTTCTCATCACTTGACCAGAGGGTACAAATAGAAACTCCGCTTAGTGATTTGGCCTCTACTAAGATCCCGTTAGCACACTCGCTTTGCTTTCCACCCAACGCTTGGTCCTCTCGTGGTTAAGGATGTCAATCCTCTCTTAGTCTTTGAGAAAGTCATTAATCCTGCTTGTGGATGTGCCTCTAAGCCCCATTAGATCGAACTCCCTAAGTACCCCAGCACAAATCTACACTCGTTAAGTGTATACCTGTGTAGAAAACACGCGGTTCGTGAGCTGCAATAGTACTTAGACTAAGAAGCATAATAATTCTTCTTTTTTCCCTTTTAACAGAGGGCGCATTCATCACAGTGACATGTACGAGATGTTACGAAATATGGAACCGCCTGTAGGCTTTGGGAAGAAGTGTCCATATCGCTTGGCCTATAGAGTGAGCAAATCTTTCCTATTTCCTATCCAGTTATGTATGACAATTGTTCCTCCTCAACCTAACCCCGCTTGGTTTTGTAGAAACTAATTCGAATGAATATGCCGGTGGATGATAATGGAACTGTCCACTTCACAACCACACTGTTTGCACTGATCCGTGAATCGCTGGGCATCAAAATGGGGCCGGCAGAAATCATGGATCAGCGCGATAATGAACTCCGTTATAGTCTTCTCAAACTCTGGCCGGTGCAGGCCAAGCGAATGATTAACATCCTCGTACCACCTGATTCAGGTTAGCCCTTCTGATTTCTCCACTCAACCTTTTTTAAGTGGAAATGTCCGAGTTTGAATCTCTGTTTCTCCTCGATAGAGCTTGTCTACCAAAAGATGACAGTGGGAAAGATCTATGCAGGCATGCTGATTCTTGAGAATTATCGCATGTCCAAACAGCCACATGACAAAGACCAATTGGTAAGTTACCCCTAATTGACGAATCACCTCCAAAACCACACTTCAATTTCATTGGTCGACTTCACGAACACTTATTCATTGAACTTTAAAATAATTATTGCAGCTATCACCAATGAGTAGCCGCAGAAGTTCACTCTCACGTGGATCCAAGGTAGAGTGTGTTTTTCTCTCCCACGTCCTCAGCTAACACTAATCCTGCCAATGTTACTGCTACTAACATATACTAATTATTTACCTTAAATTTATCTATACCACCTTCATGGCCACTGGTGCATGCCTTCTATCTGGTTGTGTTTGATGTTTTATTAACATTAATAACGGTAAGAGTATTAATAACTATTAATATTAATTCACTTATTTTGGGCATGTTCTAAAGTAAAGTGAGATAGCATACAACCACCCTAGTTCTAGTGATCCATTCGAATTTTGGATAATTAGCGATGTACTATTTCTAATATCTCATCTTTAACAATGGGAAGAGGGAGGGGGGAATGAACTGAAGAGCTGGAAATCAACCATTTTGGATTTGAAGTGGCACTTTACAATTGCTGTAGTCTTCTGTCTTAATAGGTCTTTTCTTTTTACATATCTGACAGACTATATTATGGATAACTCTGTTAGGACTATGACAAACAGGTCTCTTGTAAGACAGTTTCGTCAATCTTCTCTTGGTACTTCTAACTTTAGCTATGTTAGGACCAGTAGTGAAAAGGCTCTGGTGTGAGGTTTCGCCACCCAAGACCCCTAACTGTTGACACCTTAAGACTATGGACATCAAAGTTGGCAGTGAGATGCACCAAAAGCGTACGAGTCGTTTAGTCATGATAGTCTGAGGACTTGACGCATCTTAGAGGAATAATGCATGCCCGTAGATTAGTAAGACCTTTTGCTGTGTTGTCTCCTATTCGTAAACGTAACTTGCAATGCTCTCTACCAATTAAGTACATGGTTGTGGACTCAAATCTCGGTGGAATTTCCATCAGATTGATATGACCCTTTACGTACTTATCTAATAACATATATCTATCAAAGTATCGGTAATGGGGATGTTAGCTGGTGAAGGAAATCTAACTAAAATTGTCTCAAATAGGTAACCATTTGCTACATTTTTTCCCTATCTTTTCGTCAGAAATCGGCTGATCTGGTGGCACGCTTCTTTGGTGCTGTAACGCACAATGTTCATCGATCGGCAAGAAACTCGGAGACCGAAGAGGATTCTATTCAGTAAGTGAGAAGGTGTTATTAGTCAGATCCACTTTTACACACTTCTTCAAATCTCCTTTCAAAAATAAGATCACCCACGCGTCTTTGGCTAAGGTAACTCGGGTGTCTAGGAGGGAAAGTATTAATCTTATTTTCTATTAATGGCAGAATCTTGCATACATGTCCACTTAACCAAGATTTCGTGCTAATCATTAATCTATATTCAGGCCCATAAGGAGGTGACTGATACTCATGTATATATATAAAAGCAGTGTTAATTTGTGCAACTATTTGGACTTTCTAGGTCCTGCAAGGAAGGAAATCACAAACTGGACTTAGATAAGCAGAAAATATTCAGTCATCCTTTTAACAAGAATGGCTTTTAGTGATCCACGTCTCTGGGGGATCTCATGACCTTGAATGTTCCGATGTGCGTTTGAAAACTGTGTCGTCGGAGCTACTCGTAATGATGGCGGTTTAAAATTAGACTACCGGATCTTAGTAACCAATCCAATGATTTCTTCATAAATTAATCAATTGCTTTCTTATTTAATTACTATAGATGAATCCCCTATTGGTTAAATCTGAAGATACTAGTCACGTCATAAATAGCGAAAAGTAGGCTCATCTATTGATTGAATCACTCTTCGTGGGATTAAGCAATAATAGAATCGAAGCAATTAAGATGTCCTCTTTGCATATATAAGCCAAATCATATCAAATAACTGCTTTTTTATTGTCTTGCCTCTTCTCAACTTTAGCACTGGTCGTTGGAAATCCCCAACAAGAGTAATTACCAAGCGTGTTCCAAAGGTATGTCTATCATTTCAAGCTATGTTCTAATGAAAATTTGAGCTTATTAATTGTAAGTGCATTTGCGCTTATTTAAAGGCGAATCTTCCGGCAAGCAATCCTAGAAGCAGCGTTGCTCTTAGAACGAGTCCAGATTGTCATGCTTCATATTCAATGACTGCCACCGCTGCTGATGCTGTTCAGTATAATTCAGCGGTTCCGATGTCTCCAACTGAGGACCAAGAACTCGGCGCTCTCTCACGGAGTAGCGATCTATCCTCCATCGAGGAGGAAGAAGAAATACCCACCAATGTAGTTGAACCCCTCGAACCCATTCGCAGTATTCCAATTGGCCGCTTGGCTTCCCGTCCTTTTGCAGCGTACCCAATGAATGCTACGGCTTGGCAACGGGAACCCCCTCTGCCAGAACGGTTCCCACGACAAGATGGCCCCCCTCTCTCCTTCCTACCACATCGATACTATCAAGGAAGGGCTCTTACAGTACCCTATCATGGTATGATCACATTAGGGGAGAAGAGACCCCATGATATGTCGGAGAGTATGTCTATAGGATCACTGAGTTTGCAAAAACAGCATTCGCCAGATGATACTGGTGGACGTAGCCCTATCCAACCTTCCGCTCCCAAGAGAATTATTTTATCAGAGTTTGGAAAACAGGAGGATTTTATTGATGGTATGTGAAGTAACAAGAATCTTGTGAACAGTTCTTACCCTGCACTTGTTTATGACAAGATTTTTCTCTAACTTTCAATTAGATTATGATTTATATTGTGTCACATGGCTATGATATATTCTATAAATCCACCTAAATGGCCATGGAAAAGGGCTAGGATTGCTGAAGGCACGAGGCATAGGGTAAAAATGCCTTCATTAAAGATCGTTTTATGGATAAGACAATACAGAGTGAAAGATTAGAAATTTCCACAAGTGTAAGAAAAGTAAAAGAGTGACTAACAGGCGTTAATAGTGAAAAGGTGAGAGAAAGCCAAAATGATCACATTGACCTTAATCAGAATAAGAATTTGTTTGAGGTTCTTATTGATTCTTCCTATATGTACGTAATTCTGATTGCAAGCGTTTTCGTTGTGGTTGGTGAGGCTTCCTGGTTACGACACTTCCAACTTCCTAGTGTCAACATGATTGGAATTATTCAAGTGTATTATGGTAGTTCGCCGGTTAATAGACTTTTTTGCTGTATGAGTATACGTTGCCCAAGGTGCACCACCTGGAGGTAAGTCTATCGCACACCCCTGATTGGAAATATTCAAGTATATTAACTTAGGAAAAGCAGAATCGATTGAGCTTAGCTAAACAAACATCATCGCGAAAGTTGAAAATAACTCTTTTATTAGTGTGACGTGGGTGCTTAGTTAGCAAATATGTGTTAAGAATATTTGAAAAGTTAATAACTTTAATCTTAATGTTCATTGTTTTTATGCTTGACTTATTTTAGTTCCCCAACCACCAGTCAAATCTGTTGTTCCTAATCTACGTTCTCAATTAATGCAGCGTTTCTCACCAACCTGGCAAGCAGATCACATGCGTGCTTATCCGATTAGCCGGGTTTCAAATGTCGATAACCCCAATAGGTCCTCCTACCACCATCCTGGTTTTGCCAAACGTTATTTCATTACCTCTTCTCTTGATCCAACTCAGTCGGATTTAGTAAATGTGGATGATTATAGGGTTCAGTATCCTCATGAATATCCCAGAATGCTTGCTTCGTCCAGGCCGCCACCTCATTCAACCCGAAGACCAGTTTACATTAATTTTCCTAAATTGGAACGATCTCCCACAGGTTCGGAGGAGCTTGAAACAGGAGGAGATATTCAAGATGTAGAGAGAACAAGACCAATTTTATGGTCAACCGTTCCTCCCTGGAGTGCATCACTTCAATCCTACTTCGTCGGTGAAGGAGGTGGATCGATTTTTACTCCATCTCCTTTGCCGCCACTACCACCGCCACCACCAATACCTCTCAATAGTCCACCTCCTTTACCACCTCCCCCAAGAGTTGTTAATCAGTCACTTGACTCCATTCCCCTTCGAACGAGAGCTACCAGTCACCAATTCTATCAGCACCCCTATCCTCATCCTCATTCTCATCAGAAATTGTATGTGGAGACGGGTAGACCATCATTCTACACCCCACTCAACCCTCCTAATCCTCGCTTGCCTATTTCCTATCATCCACATAATTCCCACTTTCCTCACTACCACCTATCTTAGGGGCTTCCGCATCAACAAAATCGTTGGTGTGTGTATATGTATTTATTATTCTGTAAATCTGCCTCCTTTCTTTCTCTCGACCTCGCCTTTTCCTACTTTCTCTCTTCTTGTCTACTTTCGCCTCTACTCTATCAGATTGGCTCCCCCCCCCCCATTTCTCCCTTTTAAACACAGCTCTCAACTCCTTGTTGAGAATGCCGAGCTGCTAAATAATGCTGGACCAAGTAAAGTTAGATTAAGATGTACCTGAAATGTTCAACTATGCCTTGTCTATTTAACAAGTTCTGGCTGCTGGAAACATTGCTTTCAAAAAATGGAAGGTAAAGACATGGGTACAAAACAACTTGAGGCTTAACTCTTTCTAAAGAAATTTGCACCTAATTACCGGATAAAGGAGGATTTTTGTTATCTTTAAAAGACGGATATACAAAATTGCATTGCGTATGAACACTCTATGCTCCTCTTAATGTTAAATAAGACTATAGTTGGATCATTTTTAAAGTTGAAACCCGGCAGTTCATTACCGTTTGCGCTTGTCGGAATTCAGCATTTTTTGTTAAATAAACTTTGATTAATTACAAGCTCGGGCGCGTTATTGTAAATAAAAGCATAAAAAACCGAACATTTTGAGCAAATTATGTGTATGTAGACTTGGTATCTCAATTTACTATTTTACTCACTGATGCATGTATTAAAGACTATGAGCAGATTGAGCAATGCTTGCAGAGTTAATTTGAATGCTCAAATACTAAGTCCTTTTTTCTTTCATTGTTTGAAAAGCTTAATCGTCCATTCTTCCCTAATTGGGTTTCAAGTAACTTAAGTGACTAAGCTTGTGGAGTAAACAACAATGCAATGGCTAGAACATTTTGAAAAGCACGGGGTGGGCCTTCTAGTCAATCATCGATCCATATTCCTTTACCGCAGCTTTGACGCAGTTTTAATGTACTAATAACTTTGATAGTTTGCACATCTTTACAATGATCTTCCTACGGTCTTTAACTTATGTGATCTAGTTACGTTCAGTGGAAGGTAATGAATAAATTTATACTAGAAAACTGCCATGGCCTAGTTACGAGAGTCTAGGCCTCTAAGAGGATTAATAAGGCTTAGCAAAGTGCTTATTCATGCAGTATTCCTCTATAGGTTGCAGTGGACGTTTATCAATCAAGATTAAATGAAATGTTTACCTTAAACACCTTTTAAGCATCTTCAATTCTCTCCTGAAAAACAATGTAGTCGTACGCGGAAAGTGAAAAGTGATCATTTTTGTTAAGGGGAGAAATTAAGGAATTTAAGATGCTGAAGCCTGGGCCACACCGAAGGGATGCTTAAAACCATTCATGTTGTTTGAACAAATAATAGGTGGTCAAGAAAGCCATTTCAGTGCATTGGTACAAATCATAAGTCTATATTCAAGCATATTTGTGTCAGACGGCAACCATTCACAGTCGTCAATGTAATTGGCTGTTGTATGAGTTTCCATATACTCACATGTATCACCTTCGTGGGGTATTGACGTTGACATTAGCCAACATTTTAACCTTGACTAATTACTAATAAGCACACACTCTATAGTAGGTTCCCTTATTTTATATAGAATATCTGTTTACAAACGAAAGGAATAATTTTTGAGAAGTTGAATCATATATAAGGAGCCTCGATTAAAAGCGGGATTACTTATGCTGAAAAGATTGTGTTTCAAGGATCGACCCTGCAAAGGGAACACCAGAAAAGTAAAAGTGAACAGATCATGTCACTTCGTAAACACTATAATTACTGTGAGACGTTCACCATTTGCTATAATATTTTTAAGTCTACTAAAGGTATTGTGGGGTTTTATTGTGATTAATAAAGCTTAGTCATTTTGCTAATTTATCTAAGTTTACCAAAATTTTAATCGAATAGAGCTTTCCTCCATTATATGCAAATTGAATAGATTCAACTTATTTCGAAAAACGGGGCGGACAAAAAAGGAAGAAAAGGAACAGTTACTAATTGAAAATAAGAGATAATGCCAGATGGGAGAACATAAATAACTATAGCATAAAATATCTTGTTACAGACGGTATTGATTTGAACTAAAATTATAGAAACAGGATTATCAAGCGTTGTATATTAATTGGGTTATTTCATCTAATATATATGAAAAAAACTACACAAAGTTTTCCACTGCGTCCGTAATTAAACAATAATATAGATTAACTTTTGTCCATGAATATGTATTTTAAAGGGGGCTGTGCGATAGACTTACCTCCACGTGGTGCACCCTGGGCAACGTATACTCATACGGCAAAAAAGTCTATAAATCGGCAGTTGACTTCTCACTTCAAACTATCATCACCTCACTCTATGCCATATTCGACTATTTTCACGGTACTCCCCTCACCTTTGTTCTACCTTTGTGTTTATCTCTTACATCTTTGAAACACTCTTCTGTTCCCCCCCCCCCTCTCGACTTTCCCATATGATGTTTCTTCCCCTCTGTGAAGCCTGAAGTCAACTAAAGGGCTAATGATAACCATCAAGACGCCTGCCATTTGAAATAAATAAATAAATGTATTTTAAAGGTCAAGTAAAATAACTTCTCTTTATAGTTAGGCATTCTTGAGTTCAAGCGCATTTGATGTATCTTTTATTAAAGTATTATAAAGAAAATATTCCAAACAAAAATAGAACGTATTATATTGAACGAAAATCAAAGAAGATGGGCTGATTAGTGTATAATTGTTCTTCAAATTTATTAAAATATAACATTTATATTTCAAATAATGGTCAACCTTGATGTTCGCAATCCAATAAACGCGGAGAAGTGCAGACCAATCGTATGCTAAGTATTTGCCAGAGTTCAGCTAATTTCTTTA